ATCCCACACACGCACACACACACACACACACGCACACACACACACACACATCCACACACACACACATCCACACACGCACACACACACACACACACACACACACAAGACACACAAGACACACACACAAGACACACACACAAGACACACATAACACACGCGCATCCTTACTTACCAGTTCCCACGGCGAAAAAAAGTGCGTTATTCCCCCATTATGCCGCTTAACCCCTTTCCGACAATCCCTTCCTGCCACATCAGTACATTACAGTGGGTTCTAACATTAAGGTTTGAGTCCCTGCAACCCAAAACATTAAATATTATATATTACACAGGAAAAAGCGGCATGAATGTTTTTCAAAAAATGGGTTTTGCTGCTCGCACGTAAATTTCATCTCATTATAAATCCACATTAAAGCCAACTTAGATTTAACTATTAATTTAAATTTGAACCCGAACACGCTGCACACATGACATGCGCAGGTTCTGGCACTGATGGGTCCTAGCGGGGGCGGCAAGACCAGTCTCTTGACGCTGCTAGGGGGCAGGTCCACTGCCAGACTGGAGGGGCAGGTCACCTTCAACGGGGCTAAGATGTCCAAGGCGGTGAAACGCAAGCTGGGATACGTCATGCAGGTGACGACGTGTGAAGTGCGTGTCTTTTTTTTGTGTGTTTTTGTGTGCGGGTGGGTGTATGGGTGGGTGTGTGCCTTCCTGTGTGGGGGCGGGTGTCCCACTCGTGTGTCTGTGTGCGGGTGGTTGGGTTGTGTGTATGTATGTGTGTGTATGTATATGTGTATGTATGTATGTATGTGTATATTCTTCGTTTCCCCCGTGCGGTGGAACCGCCAGTTTCACTATTTGACCCACATATGCTCTGAACTCCGCTCTGAACCCCAAGCCAACGAAACCCGCCCTCCACCCGCCCTCCCCCTCCGGACATGACTTCCCGCCACTTTCCCGCTACTTTTCGCTTCTCTTCCACCTCTTAGTAACACTTTCCTTCCCTGCCCTTCCCTGCCCCTTTGCCGTACCCTTCCGTACAGGACGACTTGCTTTTCGCCGAGCTAACGGTGTACGAGACGTTGTACTTCGCGGCCCTGCTCCGTTTGCCTCGCAGCTGGTCTCGAACGGATAAATTGGCGCGAGTGGATTTGGTGGTTTCGGGGCTGGGTTTGGAGAGGTGTCGGGACACCATCATCGGCTCCCACATGATGCGGGGAGTGAGCGGGGGGGAGCGCAAGCGCGTGTCGATTGGTGAGCGCCCCGTGTCTTGTCCCCCGGGGTTTTGGACGCGCGCGTGTGTGTGTGTGTGTTTGTGTGTGTGTGTGTGTGTGTGTGCATGTGGGTATGTGTTGTGGGTGTGGAGTGGGAGGACCGAGGGGAGAATTTGGGTGAGGGGCGGGGAGGGGAGGGTTTTTTTGAGTATTTTAGCGACTACGTGTTTTTAGAGATGTGTATATGTGTGTATGCGTCATGTGTTTTTTGTACGGGGGTTTCCCTCGCTGGGTCTCGTTACCAGAGCGATTTTGATTTGCTCGTGGAGTTGTGGTAGGCATCCTCCCCTCACCCCCCTTTTACCCTCCGTCCCTCCTTTCTTCCCCCCTTCCTCCGTCGTTCCCCCGCCACCCCCCCACCCCCCACCCCCCCTGCACTCCCCCCCTCCCCCACCCCGTCTCCCGGCAGGCCACGAGCTACTCATCAACCCCAGCATGTTGCTGCTGGATGAACCCACCAGCGGGCTAGGTGGGTGGCGGGGTGGAAGAGGGGGGCAGCTCCTGAGGTCAGATGACGAGACATACAGACAGACAGACACAGGCAGACACATACAGAGGGAGGGAGGGAGGATAGGAGGGAGGGAGAGGGAGGGAGAGGGAGGGCGAGAACACAAAACAGTGTTCTGCAAAGCTCTTGGGGGGTGAGGTGGCTGTGGCTGTGGCTGCGGTGGAGAGGGAGGAGGATTTACGTGCTGCCCGCTCTGACACTCTCTGCCCAGCCCCACGCGCTCCACGCGCCCGGGAAGCTTCCCTAACTCCCCAGTAGTCGTTGTTTTCCTTGACTTCGCATATCTATCTTTCCCCCTTACACACACACACACACACACACACCACCTCCCACCCCCCACAATACGTACATACTCATCCATACACACACATTCACACACACACCCCTCCACCACCACCCCCGACGTATCCGTTTATGGTTTTCCTTCTCGCCCATTGCCGACAAATGCTTCGTCGTACCGCCCCTCTCGCCGTACCCGTCCAAACCCCTACCCCCCCACCACCACCACCACAGACAGCACCACCGCGCTCCGTCTGATGCACACGCTCCGGTCCCTAGCGTCGGGGGGCCGCACCATCGTGACGTCCATCCATCAGCCCTCGAGTCGCCTGTACCGGCAAATGGATAATGTATGTATGTGTGTATGTATGTATGTATGTATGTATGTATGTGTCTCTCGTGTGTTTGTGTTATGTGATGTGCTGCGAGGGGAGGGAAGGGAAACCGGTGGTCGACCGCGAAGGGTGATCTGCGCGTACGTATGTATGTATGTATGTATGTATGTATGCATATTTGTATATTTGTATATTTGTATGACTTTATAATATCTTTGCTGACTCCGATTAGCTCCTTCCGTACGTACCTACCTACCTACCTACCTGACCCTCCCTCTGGGATGCGGATTTTTAGCGGGGGCCCCAGTGCGCCGAGTCGTGGGAGGACCGGTAACGTAAGCCAGCGGATGACGGAAGCGGGAGAGGAAGGAGGGAAACGCACTCAGCAGGTCCAATGGGGCTGACTCGAGGCATGGGGAAACAGTAAGCAGGGGCGAGTCATGGTTATGGAACCGTTCGGCACACAGTCATTACATAGATGCATAGGAGGTAAGCAAGGGCCAGGAAAGGAGCAACCCAAGGGTTGTAGGAAATTCAGACAAGGCAGTCGGAGGCCAACTAGCGGGCTCGTGCGTTGAGAGCAGGGCGTCATGTGCAGATGCGCGTGCGGCAGGCGGAAAGTACAAAAAAGGTTGGAACGGGGATCAAACCCCAAGACTGTAATATGGCGTGTGATCGAACATTACCGAGTTCTAACAAGGCCGTGGATGCCAATGGCGTTCAAAGTTAAGCTTCCCCAAAA